CTTCTTTGGGATGGTTGTGGCTTAAAAAGAACACTTTTGAGATACCACATACAAAAAGCGGAAACATGATAGTACTATTACCTTGACTGCCTCCAAAACCCTGCTAAACTCCAATTTATCCTCGTTCTTCACTGATGTAAGGCACAAAACTGATGCTGTTTTCTTGTGGACAATCTGTTTTTCAAAACATAGAAGCGTCAAAAGATAGTTACCAGTAGTTCTTTTAACAATAGAAAAAGTCTAGATAAATCACCGCTCCAAGACGTGACTTGCCCTTCACGATTGCATAAGGAACCTCCATTTTCCGGCACAATGCAGGCAACCAAACAACAAGCTCAATTGGATCAACATCATGTGCGATAACCACCAACTGGGCCTTGTTCTACATGCATCAAGTAGAGTCTTAGGAAAAAGATAAGATAACCCAGACAAAAACACATCAATCTGCCTTGCATGCTGTCACCATCCAAGTCAGATGAAAACATGAAACCACCAAAAATAAAAAAAAGTTGGAAGGCGTCCAAAAAATAGAGGGATAAAAATCAATATGCAGAAATCAGACAAGAAGCTGAAAGAAATGAGAGGAATGAGTGGGGGAGATGAAAAGGTGAAAAAACAAATTGAAAGCCATCTTATCCAGCACTAGCATAATTACAAAAGAAATCCTCCCATATAGGTCCATCAAACTAGCTAAACAAAGCACCAAATCATCCATTATCACATTGCTACCTAATTATTTACGAAGTCAATCAAGAATGCCATAGAAACCAACATCCATACCTGCTCAATGAGGTATGTAACATGGTTAAGACCATATTTAACAACAATGGGCTTTTTTGATTCAACAGTCTTGCCCTCAGCTTCAGCTTGTGCTCTTTTAAGAAGCCTTTCCTTCTTAGCAGCCTTGTCCTCAGGTCTATATTTTAGCAACAACTTGAAAAGTTGTGTAGCTGTAACACAAAATGATGGGGGAAAAAAAAACCTCTCACTACCAGACAAGTAATATGCAGTTTCAGTAATTAAAATGAATTTCATCAATGCACTACGATATCAATATCAATGCATTTGTAATTAGTTTTGGCATCAAATTTTGTCAAGTTCCCTGTAACAAGGATGGAAAATTTACCAAGGTTCTTGTCAAGTGTTTTTGTGAACTGGTTGACAGCAGGAGGAACCTTCAAACGCTGTTTCAGAATTCTTCTTTGCCTTTGAATACGAACAACATGTGGCCACTTGACAAATCTAGTCAAATCCTTCTTGGGTGGAAGGGCACCGCCAATTCCAAACTGCTTTGTTCGCTTCTCAAACAAAGGGTTTACAACCTTTTCCTGTAATTAATCAACATCCATGCACTAAAGCTTTAGTTGCAAGGGAAGAGCACATAAAGCCCAAAATTGACAGGGGGCTGAATTAGGATTCATCACATCTGAGTTCTAAGAACAGGGCATAATCTATGAAAATTTGTTTTTAGGGAGAGAAGACATACAGGTTTCTTCTTTGTTGCTACTGGGGCCTTCACAACTCTTTTGGGAGCCTGTAGTAAGCATAAAAACAAACTAATGAACCAAAAGTGGAAAAAAGAAAATTAAGAACGCAAACTTTTAATGAAAATTTTAATCAACACACCATTTCGAAATATATGTGACATGAGCAGCACTCATTCAAACAAAATACAAAAAAAGCAGCAGGACTACATGATAAAAATGTTATATTATTCATCATGCCACTAAAATATATTATATGTCTAGTGTCTGTAAATACAACTATTCTACACAATAACCAGAATTCCAACTTCCCAAGAAGTACATAACGGTCATGACTCATTGAAAATCAATCCAAACAACGAAATTAGTATGTAGATGTTTTTAGCTTAACTTCTAACCAGTACAGTGCATTTTATTACAGGCCCACCTTGACACTTCTACTGCTCTGCATTGATTATGGTTGCTAGCAAATACCTATTTCTTTTCTGGGGCAACTATCTGTTGCAGAACCATCATCACTAAATTAGCCATCATTCACCAATTTCTAGCCCATATAATCGCCACAATAAAGAGCCCCGCATATGCACTGATAATAAACTTCAATTTTTCCAACCAGATGAAATGTCATCCCCATAAAAAATCAAGACTATTCTGTTAACAGAAACAAAAACACCAAGATTCCTTCATTCAACCAAGTTTTAAAGCTATTGGGTCACTAAAAATAACTACAGCAAATAGAGAGCCAAACTGACAGTCTCCATTCATGCAAAAATTAACAAAGCCATAAAAAATAAAGCAATCGTATCAGAAGCAAAAGTAACCAAAAAGAATAAAAACACGTTATATTGATGAAAATATGAGATGGGCATTCAAGAAGTGAAGTAAAAATTGTACCATGTGGAAGAGGAGATCGAAAGAAACCCTGGCAGTTCTGTTCTGTTCTGTTTGCTGAGGAAGGGGTATAGCTTAGAAGAGCAGCTGAAGCGGCTGCATTTATTGTTAGGGTTTTGTTTTGTTTTGTTTTTGTTTTTGTTTTTTTGTTTTTTTGTTTTTGGATCGAAGAGTGCAAGGATAACTGGATAAGCCCATAGGCCTCAAAAACCGTAGGAATTGTTTTTCCAGTTTGGTCACTTTTTTGTTCATATATCTAACTTAAGTCCTCATTGATGCTCGTTTTTTATTTATTAACCCCAAATCTCTCTTATCTTTTTTTAATTTTAGATAGTGGGAAATATCAATATTCAAACTAGGGTTTAAAAAGAATTGGATTAAGCGATTTTTACGTTTATTTTGGATATAAGAACTATTTCTCTTTGAAATGTTTGATTTTTAAAACATATATGCTTAATTGAATAGTGACTAAATACTCAAAAAAATTTTACTCAACAAGAAATAAATATAAGAGTCAAGTTACCAATTTATCTCTAGAATAGTGCAAATATGGATAATTTAAAAATAAAAAAAGAATCCTATTTTCAGTTAACTTTATAAATTTTATCATAAATTTCTATGTATTCAATTTGTACGTTTATAAAAAGATGAAAATTCAAATCAATTAAATGCACATGAAGAGGAGAACATCAAGTTTAGAGCTAAAAATTTTGTCAAACAAGTTGTTACCAATATTTTGGAATTACAACTATAAATCTTGAAGTTGATACTGAATTGTTATCATAAGATCACGATAATTTACCAAGAACAACAAAAGCAAGGTTGATTTCTATACTACACCCACTAAAAAGAAAAAAGCACAAGAAAAAAGGAAGTGCTTTGATAATCGGATCCTTTATTTCTTGGTAAACTTAAAAAATTATATGTCTAGCTAATGCATTAATAATCAGTCCACAATCTATTGTCAATAAAGGATTTCAAGAAATAACTTTTCTTTTGTTGTTCTTTATTTCTGGGCACTCATGGGTTCTATGGTTTTGTTGGCTCTTTAGCTTCCGTACCTAAAACTCTTTTGCCAGCCCATATTATTTCTTTAGCTAGACCTTGCCTAAACAAGGGCCCATTACCATGAGACAGGAAACCAACCCGAAATTACTTTTGCCTCCCAACAAGCCTTATAGAATTATTGGCTTCGTACCTAGGGGAAGATATATGCATTTGTTATTATATAATATATTGGATTTTTAATTATATTATATTTATTTGTGAAAGTATTTGAAATATTCAATCTGTGCTTTCAGTTAATTTTTCTATCAAAATGATTTTTTTTTACCGAAATATCTTTAATTGAAATGTAAAAAAAAAAATATATTTCATAACTAAAAAATTTGATTGGAAGAATAAATTGAATATTTCAAAAATTTTCATGGACATATGAGATGTAAATGAAAATTTAGAAACAAATAGAAAACTTTGAATATTACATAAGAATAAATTGATATATTTACCTTATATTTAGTTAAAAAAAATGATATAATTAGGTTATTTCTAATAGAGTTTCATAAGTTTTGAAAAGAATTCCTAAATCTTTTATTTAGGTATTCAAAATGACTGTAGAAACAACCAAATTATATCATTTTTTTTAAAGCAATAACCCAAATAATTTGAAATTATTTAAACAAGAACCAAACTATTATTGATTAAATCCACAAGAATAGAAAATAGCAAATTTAATACGGGAAAAATATGGGACATCCCAATAAATTTCATGCTATTATCTGCCTTTTAAATCTAAAGAATAAGGAGACAATGAAAAAGAACTTTTTTTGTGAATACTCTAATACGGACAAAGAAGTTATAATTAATAATATTTTTTTTTTAGTAAATCAAACAAATTTTGTTTCAAAAATGTTAAAAGCTAGCACAACAAAAGCAATTTCTCAACATTTAAGGTGTCACCCATGGAAATACACAAAAGTGTTGAATATCCTGTACGAAACAGGCAGTTTGCTTCATGCAATTCTTATTGGCTAGAATTTCAAAACGTGGTTGAATATTCGTGCACAAAATGGCAAAGGCCAAACACTCTCATGCATGGTCCATGGACTCAGATATGCATTGCTTGGAATTAGCCCAGTGTCCTTCTCTACTCTACAAATGCTAGAATATGACGAAAAAAGACAAAAAGAAACCCATATCTGGAAATTGCAATTGCATGTACCTCGCTGTATGAACCCCTGGATTCCCTTTCCCTTTCTATATAATTTCAAGTAAGTTAAGTACTATACCTGCACCAATATTAATTTTCTTACTTTTCCAATACTAGTTGATAGTAGATCATTAGCCAAAAAATGGGTTCAAGTTCTGAGTGATCATCTGCAAAAACATCAAGAAGAACTGTCTACGACTGAGCCCTTTAAAAGCCACCTTCCTCAGTGCATGCTGCTTCTAATAAATGGTCAGTTTTTGTTTTGAAACCTTTTTTTGGCTAATTTTTGTTCTTGTCAAACTTGTATCATTTTTTTCCCTTTGATGGGTGGCCAGGTGGGGTGTGCTTTTTAATATAATGCTTCTTGTTTCTCTAAATATTGTTCTTATTTGTGGATATTTATAGCTATTGAAACAATGAAGAAGGAGGTCTTGAACGTAAAAGATGGCACGATGTCCGAGTCCAATGAAAAGGCTCTAGTGGAGTTTTTGTCATTGAAGAGGAGAAATTATGAAATATTGCAGAGGGAATCTTCTGGAAAGTTTGGCAGAGAAGAGAAAAAAGACCGTATGAGAGTTTGTGATCAGCTCTGTAAGCTTAATCATGATGACAAGAAGCAGAAAACAACACTTCAATACACAAGCACAAACCTGCAGGTACAGCCAAAAAAAAAAAAAAAAAAGACATTGTATTTCTGTTGTGCAATTTTGACATTGAAAGTTTGTTCTACTATCCCACAGGCTGCCAGACAACCTGTTAAGGACGTTGCAGAAGGCACAGGTTACGGAGACTTGAATCCAAGGGTAAAAAATGAAGCAATGAATTTTGAGTCCAAGCCACTGTCAAAGTCTATATGGAGGAATCACAGAAGATCCTGGACACCAGAGCTTCATGAAAGGTTTGTGGAGGCTTTGGAATATCTTGGAGGACCTCAAGGTTTGTATTATTCAGTAGCACGTTGCTGCTGTTCTTGTTTCATCATGTAGTTTTAGTTGGGGCCTCCTTTCAGATAGGAAGTATGAGAATGGAGTATAGTCTTCTGTCACCTGATTTCCATATTTCTTGTTTTTCTCTGCATTTTCTGCAGTGGCTAAACCAAAGCAGACAAGGGATGCAATGAAGGTAGAAGGGCTGACGAACGATCAAGTAAAGAGCCATTTGCAGGTAATAGAGGATAACTTGTTCACAATTTCCATTTGAATATTCTAGTCTAGTGTTCCGGTGAGAATCTCAATTGCAAGAGCTCAAAATTGTCACACTTCTGTAGAATTGCTCCTTGTTTCTACTCACTCTGCCTTCTCCAATTCCAAAATGTCACGAGTCTTAGGATCTTGATGAACTTATAGCATATGTTTTTCTTTTCACTGATGTTTTTGAAATATGTTATTGTGATTGATTACAGAAGTATCGGCTTAGCAGCAGAAGAGCTTCACCAGCCAGTGCAGATCCTCTGGAGGAAAGTGTGGAGAAGTTTTAGGACCCATGCATATCAAGGCTCTATTATGGTGATCCTTAAATTAAAACCCAATCCTGGATGGGCATCAGACATACCACATGAGTAATAATAAATAAATCTACAGTTGTAATTGAAGCGAGTCAAGTGACTAAGACAAGATATCGTAGAATGTTATGGCATATTTGGATGACACCAATCTAGAAAGTGACTTCAGAGACCCTTCGATTTCTCCTCAAAACAGTATTGGCTGAGTTCTTATTTTTGTTTTGTTACAAGCAGTCAAGCACTTGTTTTTTGTCTGATATATTTAGGTAGTCTTCAATATTATGACGTGAAAAAAACATGTTCTGTCTAGAACCTCTACTAGATTCACATGTCTTATAATTTCATCAAACGTTGCCTATTGCAAAACCTCCAAAAAATATAAAGCAAGACGTGGAGAGCACAAGAAGCCTGCGTATCAGACATGTTCTAGTGAACTACCAAATTATCTACTGCTAAATTGCGGTTTGATTCTGAGTTGCGTAAGGTAATATTAGCATTTAAAACAAGATAATCACAGTTTACAGAATCCACAAATTGCGTCGATTTCATAGATTGCAATAGGTCGCAGAGAAAGACCACATACTACTTTTCTTATAGAGGTGAAGTTTCCAATGCAGAAGCTATCATCCTACCGAGCCAGAGTTTATGAAGACTACCATCATTATCCTTCCACATTTTTTTATATGAAGCGTTGTCCTAGATACAGTTCAAGAAACAAAGAGAGGGTTGATCACAGCTCCAATGAAGAATATCATTCCTGATTTCTCCTCCCTGATCAAGAACATGAAAGGATGATCAGCTACAAAACTTGGAGGATTCAACCTGCGACTTTTTCTAATGAATCTCGGAGCAGTACTTGCTGCTGCTTCAGTGCCTTCCTCATTAACTTCAATACAGGACGCGTGGAATACATTTGACAAGAAAAGCGACTTGGCAGAATCAACCATCTCAGAAAATTCTCCAACAGCCTTGAAAGGTAGTTCCAGTCCCAATTCCTTCATGGTATGCGAGACTTCAAACTTGAATGAGAACTTAAATCTGGGTATCCAGAACTCAGGAAGATCCTGTTCTTGCAGCTTTAATTGCATAGTATAAAGTTCAGGGCTGGATTTGAATACTTGAATCAGACTGTGCAAGCCATTTGTTGCATCTGGAAGAAAGAAGTACATGGAGAATTCCCTGGTGTCTTGATCATTTTGGTATGGAATTTTGAGAACTTTATAGCCATCAAAGGATACATAAAGATGTCGCTGGTGTCTCTTGCTGGTCATGAAAGGAACTTGAACAATTTGTCCACTAAGAAGATGGAAGTCATTATATTTAGTTTTAGATGCATCGAATTTTCGATCCCATGCTCCTTTGAAGTAGAGTGCATTTGCAAGGACTAAAGCTGTGTCATTCCCAAAACACTTTTGTGGGAGAAGGTTTTTGATGAGTCCTCTGGTTTCAGTCTCTACCCATGAATTAATTTCATTTAACACTTGATTAGCCTTCAAGGAAAAGCATGAAGTGTCAGTTGCATTATTAACTGGAAAAGAAAAGGAAAGATATATACTGTTGCTATCCATGGTTAAATCTTAAGAATTTGTAAGATCACCCCCAGATTTGAGCACAACAAAGCTCCTGAATTTAACTTCTCAGTTGGTTGACTACAATTAGCTCATTAGGTGGCATATCCAAGATGTACGAAACCCGAGGCTGCTATGTCTCGCTAGTGTTCACTATCAAAACGTAGATACTGAAGTTGCAATTTTATCAAAGTGCTGCTCTTTATGTTCTTCAATGGTTTCATGAAATCAAGGAAATACCACAATCATGACTAGAATAGCATAAAGAAGCACGAAAATGATTGTAACATTACCTCATTTACAAAGTCAACCTCTTGAGCTGTGGCACAGTAAGTACCTTTCACCACCTCCTGAAAGGAAGGCTTCAAACGAAAACTTAGATCCACCCAAGCTCCATTGACGAATGACACAATCGGACTTCTGGTTTGGTCCTCACCCCTGTTCGATGGCGATAATACAGAAGTGACAGCCTGCGAAGCCAAAGATTTCAGCTCATCGATGCTTTTCAGTCGTAGAAATGAAAGCAGCTGGTCCAAAGTAGACCCCTTTGAGCCTACGGCAATCAGGCTCAGCATACAATGAAATGAAAAAGGTGAGAACACAAAATTTGATCCCTTCTCAGCTTCTTTCAGAAAAACATGGAATGCCATATCCAAGCAGAAGCTAGTATCGAAATTTCCCGCAGGAGTCTGTACTTGCTCCTCCATTGTTATGTCCAAAGGATCAAGTCAACTGGAATTAGTTTCGCTAGTGCTTAAACATATATAAATGTAGTAACGGAGATTACAAAGGGTGTTTATTAACGACACAAAATCCTTAGGTGGCATTGCAGCAAGCATGAGTTGATGTGCTTGCGATTCCTGTTGTTTTGCCGTGTCAACAAAGCAGCCGAACACAAACAAATGCACATATAAATCAACCATTAAAAACAGAAGGCAGCTAATAAAAAACCGAGATGAAAACCAGATATAACCCGGGAGACTGCCAAGGCAAGCTTAACGCAAAAACAAATACACATAAAAAAAACAACCATATGAAACAAAATGTAGCAAATATAACCTGGGAGATTACCAATGCAAGCTTAACGCAAACAAATACACATAAAAAAAAAAAAAAAAAGAACGTATGAAACAAAAGGTAGCAAATATAACCTGGATAGGCTTAGTGTCTCATAAAATTAGTAAAATTTCTATAATAATAATAATAATAATAATAATAATTATTATAATAATAATAAAAGTCTTTCATATATTCCTATAAGTTTCTAATTACATCTCATTTGTTTATAAAAATGTTTGAAATGTTGAATTTGTTATTCTCATCAATTTTATAGGCAAAATGAATTTTTTTTTACTGAAATGCCATTGAATTAAATGAAAAAAAACCTCAAAAAATGATACATGTAGGTCATGTGACTTTAAGTGTTTTTAATTTTTTATTTTTTTTCGCATTTAAGTAAAGGACATTTTGGTTAATTTTTTTTATGGTCGAAAAAATTGATAAAAAAAACATATTGAATATTTTAAAATTTTTCAAAGGCGAGATGGTTGCAATTAAAAATTTAAAGATAGATATAAAAACATTGAATATCATATAAAGACAAATAGATATATTTACTTTTACTTTTATTAAATGAATCCACTCATTTAACCACTTGTTTTAGCGCAACGAAAAATGAAAGGATGGTAAGTTAAAAAAGCTTAGAGGATGCACCTAGCCACATTGGTTAACAAATCTTGGAGCAATACTAGCTACGACTTCCGTTCATTCCTCATTTACTTTAACAGAGGACTCATGGAATACTTTTAACAACATAAACGATCTCATGGGAATCAACCATCTCGGAAAATCCTCTATCAAGACTAAAAGGGAGCACTAGCCCTAGTTCCTTCATAGTTCTTGAAACTTCAAACTTAAATGAGAACTTAAATTTTGGAATCCAAAAGTTAGAGAGATCCTCTTCTTGCAACTTCACTTGTTTATTATAGAATTTAGAATTGGAAATGAATATTTGTATTAGATTATGCAAATCATTTCTTGCATCTAAGTAGATAGAAGTACATAGTGAATTGCCTAGAGTCTTGAACATTTTGATAGAGAACTTTAAGAATTTTATAACCATATATCAAAGCTTCCATACGGATGTTTATGGTATGCCTTACGAGTCAAGAAAGGAACTTGAACTATCTATCCCGTAACACTTTGAATTTTCTTCTTCATATTATGCATATGTATGCTTTTGTATATGTCTTAATTTCATTCTTGTTTTATGAATATGATTGATTTTTTTTTTATTATGTAAATGTTTTACATTAAAAGTGTTTTGGGATTAAAGAAGAATATGATACTTAGAGTTAGTTAAGTTTGATTAAATTTATTAAGAGAAATAGATCAAAGTAATAATTTTTTTTTTTTTTTAGTTTTAAATGGAAATGTAGAAATGAGTAAAAAAATAAAATAAAATTGGCGATTGGTTATAAAAAACGTGACAACCATTTTCTCCATTTTCCCTATTTTCTCTCTTTCTCTTCTCTTCCTTAAACCTTAAGCTTCCTACTTCAATGCCATCATTGTTCATCCATTTCTAGCTTATTCCACCATAAAAAATATTAGATTATGTTAGTTTTTGATGATATAAGTTGAAATTAATCAAGATTGGAGCTTGAAGAGTTAGAGATTATGATTAATTATTTTGAGTTAATAATTTATGAAGTTAATTTGAAGTTTGATTAGTTAGATTTTATTATATGAATTATTTTAGGATTTGATGGAATAAATTGACATTTTGCATATGTAGGATATTATAAAGTTTAAAATGAGCTAAAAATTCAATATATGGTTTATGGAAGAGTTATTGTGAAGTTAAAGTAATTTTGGTGGCTTATAGAAGTGTTCTTGTGATGATAAAAATATATTTTTTGAAAATATTGAAGATGATGAATTGTGAAATACAAAATTAGGGAAAAAAAAGCAAAGAATTATGTTATATGAATAAAATTAAAGATGAATAAAATGAGAATTCAAGTAAAATAGAGTAAAATTAATGATTTAATTAAGAATTGATGATGAAATTAGAGTTCAATTAATTGAATTGATAATGAGGCATAAAATTGAATGTTAATTGTTGATGAAACATAATTGAGTAATTAAGTGGATACAAGTAATTAATGGACAATTACCATACCAAATATCATAAGAAAGAAATGCGAAAAATAACAAGAAATGATAAAATTAAATATTAGAGTTTGTGATGAATTACAATTTTTTTATGTAATATGATTTGTATGTTTAAGGTATTGAATCGAGTCGAGGTATAGACTATTAGAAAAAAGTTACGATCAGCACTAGTCTTTAACGAATTAGGTAAGTGTAACTCTGCTATACCATGAAAGCAAATGCTATATGTTTAAAGTGAATGATGTGATGTGATTGACCTCGAGAAGCATTCATATGCATACATATATTTTACATATTGATCTGTGATGAAATAAAGTAGTTTAAGTAAATGAATGTAAATGATATTTTATGATAGAAAATGTTTTGAATGCATTTTGACGTTTTAATGTTAAAGATAAAGGTTAACTCGTCGAGGTAAACTATCGGGTTAAATATTGAGCTTTTAATGCCGAGGTTGCTTATCGAGGCTTAAATGTCGAGGTTTAAAAGTTGAGGCTTGACTCGTTAAATAGTGAGGTTAATGTGATCGTATGTTTTTGTTAAAGTTAGACCTTACTATCCTAGTGGCCATAGTGAGGCCTCTTACCTATGAAAGGAAAGTAAAGCTTAAGAGCCATGGTACATTAGATTGACATCTTCAAGTGGGCCTAACTAAGAAAAAGAATTTTATAAGATATTCATGTAATGAAAATTTTTAATGTGATCGTATATTTTTATAAAGGTTATCCCTACTAGCCTAAGTGGCTATAGTGAGACAACTCACCCATAGAGGAAAAGTCAAACTTAAGGGCTATGGTGCACTAGGTTGGCATCTTTTAATGAGCCTAAATAAGAAATTTTTTTTTAGAAGATATTCATATAATGAAATTTTTTAATGTAAAATCATGCATGTTGTACTTATTGGAATATTGGTATCTCATGTTTGTTCTATGGTGTAGGTACCAATACAAATATTGAGGATGTTGATATTGTTTTTAATGATCAGCGACTCATATGCTTGCCTTTGAGTGTTACTAAAGGAATGATGAATGCATTTTGTTTTAATGATGAATATGAGTTAAAGTATAATTATTTAAGGTTCATGAATGCGCTTATGAGTATTAATTATAAGTATGTTAAGTTTCGAATATTGAGAATTGTTAAGTTTCGAATATTGAGAATTATTACTTAGTAACCGAATATGAATACCAAGTTAGGTTTATTTATGAATATTGAAGAATGATAAATGATGTTTTTAGAATTTAAGGATGACTTGTAGTAATAATATTAAATAAATTATAGATAAAAATTTAACAAAATGCTTTTGCTATATTAATAAGATGATCATATGGTTATATTATTAATGACATGTTTTAATTGATATGTTTAATTACAAATAAAATTTAAATTAGAAATAAGGTTTAAGGATAATGAAAGGATATTGGTTTTAGTTGTGAACTTTTCGACCGTGATCCTTCGGGTAAGGTGTCTTAGATGACAGGCATTACAACATGGTATCGGAGCAAAATAACCAATAGACCTAATTAACAAACAAGGTTATTAGTTTATAGAAATTAATAAGAATTGAATGTTTGAGGTATGATAACATAATAAATGGTTTTTTGCTTTATAATCCTCATAAAACTAAGTTAATGCATGTATATGACATGTATAATGATATCCGAGTCAATACGGTGAAGATTATGCAATATGATGTTAGAATTTGAACCAATAATGAATGATGATGTGATAGAATGTTAAGATTGAACAAATAACTTATTAAATAATGATTGCTATTAAGTTAGAACGCGGATTAGATCTAGCTGAACTTAGTTCTCTCTCTCTCTCTCTCTCTCTCTCTCTCTCTCTCTCTCTCTATATATATATATATATATGGGTGTGAAATGTTAGAATATGTTTATGAAGAAATGTTACCATCTTGGGACATAATGGAGTCTAAGGACTTCGGGAGGGAATGTGAGCTTATTATTGGATAGAGGTCAATAAAAATAGACTTGGTAGTGCTTAGTATTAGGGATTTTGATATAATATAAGATAAATTGTTTCTCAAAGTATGATGCTAGAATTAACTATAGAGTGAAAGTGATAACATTCCAACCATCTAGTAAAAAGCCTTTAGAGTTTAGGACGAGTGAGAAGGTGAGGTCGGTACCAATGATGTCGCCTATAAAAGCATGGAGGATGGTAAGGAATGGGTGCATAGTGGTATCTAACAGATACAACAAGTAGAAAAAGGAAAAACTAAAGGATGTCAAGATGTAAGGGAGTTTGTGGATGTATTTTTGAAGGGGATGAGAGAGGTTACCACTCGGTGAGAGGGATTGATTTTGAGATAGAGCTAGAGTCGAAACTCGCTCTAGTTTCCAAGGTCGCTTATAGGGTGGCACTCGGTGGAATTAAATGAGTTAAAAGAGAAGATGTAAGAATTACTAGATAAATGATGTATAAGGCCAAGTTAATCATTATAGGGTGCACCGATGCTATTTATGAAGAAGAAGGATGAAACATTGAGGTTGTTCATGGATTACAAAGGTTTAAAATGAGTTAGTATTAATAATAAGTATCCGCTCCCACGTATTCATGATTTGTTTAATTAGGTGAAAAGGGCTTTAGTCTTTTCCAAGTTGATTTGCAATTAGGATATTATCGCTTAGGAATAAAAAAGAGTTATGAAAAAGATGATATTCGGGACCTAGTATGGACATTATGAGTTTTTGGTGATACTCGTTTGGATTGACCAATGCCTCTACAGCTTTCATAGACTTGATAAACAGAGTGTTCCATAAGTACTTAGATAGATTCATTATTGTTTCCATCGATAACATCTTGATCTATTCCAAAAGTGGGGAAGAATATGTTGTAACATTTGTCGCACGAAAAGACTTACTTAAAGGGTCACTACTGGATGGGTCACTATAAAAAAACTATATCTTTTCATTATCCTTGAATCATATTCTTAATTTAATCTCATTCATCATTAAACATATCAAGTAAAATTTGATATCAATAATATAATCACGTAATGATTTTATTAACATAGTGAAAGTATTTTTATAAAATTTCATCCATACTCTATCTTAACACCATTATCATAATTCATCGTTAAATTCTAAAAACATCATCATCGTTTAACATTTATAAATAAATTCAACCTACTCGTTCGTAATCGATTACAAGCATTAATTTTCAACATTCAAAAATTTAACTTTCTTGCAATTAATATGCATAAAATCATCCATACATAAACTTATATTTATTCATTAAAACATAATTCATTCTTTATTCCTTTGAGGACAATCAAGACAACCACACGAGTTGCTAGAAATCGAGAGCGACATCAACACTCTTAACATTCGCATCAATACCTATACCGCAAGACAAACATGAGCTAACATCCAATAAGCATGATCATGCAAGACATTTATAAAATTTCAAGACGTATGTCCAATCATGACCTCTCAACGATCACAAAAATAAATGCGCATTGAATAGTAGAGTCGTTACTCGCTTTTTCTAAAGGTGAAAAATAAAAAAAAAACCTAGCAATCTAGTCCAAAAAGTTTTAGTTAAAGAGATTGATTACACAATTAGGGAAGACATCAATCACCCTAACGTGCCTTCTTAATGAGGTTACCATTCAATTATAATCTATGGGAATTTCTTTGTGCCAAGTCTAATAAATATCCAATTTTCTATCCCGATTATTATGCCTTTCTAACTAGTCCTAAGTGAGGTAATTTGAAGATAGAAATAAGACTTGATCTCTCATCCGCATAGGTCATCGGGCCATTGGAACCCAATTGGAGGGAAGAATAAGAGGGTTTAAGGTCCATTGGAGAAATAATTGGCTAAACCATAACACCTTACACAACAATAAAAATAAAATGATAATGGGCCTTAGGCCCATACCTCTTGCCAAACCATACATCAATACAACCAAAAAGTCTATAATAAAAAGTCCAAACAAAACAATATAAACATGGGCTTCATGCCTACATCCACATGCCAAACCACTTAAAATGAAATAAGTAATTTTTAAAAATCCATGGATAATATATAGCCTAAATCCGTAAGAAGACCCGATTAGTAGCATGAAGAATATAAAAGAAAATTGAATCCGAATAAAATAAAGTAAAATAAAATAAAAAGAAGTATATAAGATTAATATAAAGCCTCGTCATTGGAATTAAATTAGTCTCGGTGCCTTACTCCTATGCGTTTGGACTCACCTAAACTTATTTCATTCAATCAAACACACATAGAATCACAAATCATAAAAATCGTATATTGACAACTCTAAGAAAAGTAAATTGGCTTCCATGAGATCCTTAACCTTTTTTATTTTTTATTTTTATTTTCCCAACATATAAAAAATGTTAAATTAATACTAGCTTCATCAATGACCAATAGTTAAGCAGGGACTTTATTAAGCAAAATAAAATTATATATTATGCATAAAAATAAAAATAAAAAATCTAAATAAACTAAAACCCTAGAATATCACAAATTAAAAATTCACACCCAAAATCACAAAGCATATCCAAAAACTTGCAAAAAACAGATTGATCAATATATATGTATATATATATTTGGCAAAATCACACATATGCATAAAAATAAAATAAATGTCAAATGATATTATAAAATTATGAGATCTAAAATATAATTTAGATACGCATTTATTTGAAACATTCTAAAAATCCATATGCATATGATGTCAAAAACCTGTCTGAATTAAAAAGTAACAAAAACAGTCCCTGTTTGTCATGATTTGTCAATTCAGCCATTATCTGAAATACATTATAGGTTAATCAAATTCTAGATCCATTCAATTGACCAGTAAATCAACTGAAATAATCAGAAATAACCATAATATTTTCAAAAATAAACAAAAAAATTGATAATTAACAAATAAAATAAAGGATAGGGACTTCGTTGCCTTGATCAGAAGTTTAAGGACTAATTACATGAGAGGGACAACATTAAGGGATGAACTGCAAGAATAGAAGTGAAATTGTGGTAGCAGAGGAGGCGCGTGGAACACATGTCATCGACATACTCTAACTAACTCAGAACCGTGCATGGCATGTGGAGTCGTGAGCTGTTCGCTCTAGTGGCATTGCAATCGTCCTTTCCGGACAATCCTGGTAGAGAAGGGCGTGTTTCTGTCGAGGATTGAGGTGGTGAACGACGAGAGGCGACGTCTTTGCTTCCTTTTCCTTTTAGTGTGGATATTCTCTTGGTATTCTTTGGAAAGATATCACAAAGCTTAGTTTGAGAGCGAAGAGCTTGAGAGGTGTTTTGGAAAATAAAAGGTCATATTTTGAAAGAGACGAGCCCAAAAATCATTTTCTCCTTCTCTTTAAAGACGAGACTCATCAGCCAAAACAATTCATTTTAATTAAAAAGGACTTTTAAAAGAACATAATGTAGATTAGTTCCAAGGTTTTGAAGAAAAAGATATAGTAGCTCAAAATATATTTAAGGGTGTGAAAGGCTAAGGACCACTTCAATACTCGTAAACACTTTTTGCTTGACTTTGTTGTTCTCATTGATGGCATTGCTCCCAAAAATCTCAGTTATTGACTTCAATATTTTTTCAAAATAAGGATTTTTATGGCTTTTTTGGAATAAATTCATGGCGAAATAAGGATTTTTATGATTTTTTTTGGAATAAATTCATGGGAATCTTAATTTTGCTTACTATTTTCAACAAACTTTGCTCGATTTTTTTTTCTTTTTATTTAAGGAGCTATTCATCTTTCAAGCATATTCTAATCCAATGTAGGGGTGATTTTAATTTTCGGTTATTATCACAAGATTTTATTAAGGCTCAAAATAGGGTCGTAATCAATTTTATGATCATTTGTGAATGATATGTCAAGGATGGATTTTTCTAATCTCAAAACCAATTTTTACGGACTAAAAAGTTCTAACTCATTTTGATTTTATTAGTTTTGAAAACCGAAAAGAAGAAGCGTTGAATTCATGACCCATTTTCATGCTTTTATCATCATTTAGAGCATCAAACTTTTTCTTTTATCTTTACGACAAGACTCTTCTTTTACGAGTGTCATTTTGGGTGAAGAGATTATGTTGATTTTAATCTTGGGTTATTATCACAAGATTTAATTAAGGCTCAAAAGGGGACCATAATGAATTTTTATGATCATTTGTGAATGATATGTCAAGGATGGATTTTTCTCATCTCAAAACCAATTTATACGTAATGAAAAGTTCTAAGTCTTTTTGATTTTATCAGCTTTTGAAAATTGAAAAGAAGAAGCGAGTTGAATTCATGACCCTTTTTTATGCTTTTATCATCATTTAGAGCACTAAACTTTTTGTTTTATCTTTATGACGGGACTCTTCTTTTACGAGTGTTGTTTAGGGTGAAGAGATTGTGTTTATGGTTAAAAAAATGATTGTCCCTAGTGATTGCATGATATGTTTTGGAATGTGATCATTTTTTAAGGGTTTTTGATGAATGCATTTACCATTATATTTCTCTCTTGAGGATAAAATACATGCTAAATGATACTTTCAAGTGCATATATCTTAGTTTCAAGTCGGTAATAAGGTCATGTAAGATGATAATTAATGTCATTAAAATGTGCCATTTTGGTTATCCAAAAACCTAATAGAATGTTTCAATAAATAATTATTCAAGAATCCATAACTCAAGTTGCCGAGTATGAGCCTATGTCGACCTTCATGTGATCTTCTTTAGCATTTTCATCCCTTTTGTTAGCAACGATATGGTTCGATAATGAATTGGTATTGGTATTTGGCATGCCTAAATTACCTTTAAATGAGATTCAGTCATGCTCGATCAAAGATAATACTTTTCTCTTAAAAGCCGGACAATTCTCGATACTATGCCTTACTCGCACTAGAGTGGTAGCCATATTTCTTATCGAACTTGTACCAATATAGATATGGTAGCTGAATTGGATTTTATAGAGATGAGGATGACTTGATCAATATTGATGTGATGTTTGAACAACTCATCTAGGAACATAGGAAGAGGGGGCAATATGTCTTGTTACGTTATACCACTTTGATTGCTTTTATATACATGTCTTGGTCGATAATTGAAAAGCTATTGATAGCTTGAAAGTGATGAGAATACATGACCTATCTCGATAGGAATAGTGTTTATAGGAGGTTCATATGAGCATGGTGCTTGATTATTGATGTTTTTTATTTGAAAAGAGAGGTTGTTTAGGCACCATTGATTTTCCCTCACCTTTTTGGTTGGATATTGGTAGACTCCAATTGATGAACTTCACTGTCTTTCTTGCTACTAAAATTATTCTTCTTTGAACTATTCTCTAAAATTTGTCCCGATTCAATAGCTTATTTAACTCTTTTATCAATGATTATTGTATCAATAAAGTTAGGTGATGAATTGCTAATAAGATACTCAAAGTAGGGCACCTTGAAAGTATTGATGAACATAAAGATCAGTTTCTTTTTTTTTCGAGTGGTAGATAAATTTTAGTAGCTACTTCACACCATCTTTGAACAAACTTCTTAAAAAACTATTTAGTTGATTTTTCCACGGTCAAGAGCCACTTCTAGAATGAACTTGTACTATCGGATGAAAACATCTACCAAATCTTTCCACTTTCAAATCTTAGCTCTATTAAGATGCATATAACAACTAAAGGCAACACTATCTAAAATTTTATGAAAGAAGTGGATCAAGAGCTTCTAATTATACATAACTTTTTCCATCTTACTATAGTAGACCCGAAGATGGGTTTTGGAGTATTGAGTACTAGTGTATTTTGTGAATTCAAGTACCTTAGATTTCCTCGGGATGACAACATTAGGAACCAAACACATTTCAGTAGCTTTTATTGGATCATAAAAATCCATGCCTTGAATAGCCCTTAGACACTCTTATATGGATAAAAGTATATCAACTTCATCAATCTTTCCTTGATTGACTCTTCAATAATGGTGATCGTATTTAAAGTTGCTTCACTAGTGGGTCCTTTTGGAAGCACCAAAAATGGATACATAGCATTGAGATATGATGCCTCTTATATAGATTGTGTCATATTGAGGGATGATTTTTGAAGTTTGGGCATGATTAGAAAAGGATCAATAACGTTAGAAGATTGAAATGTAGGCTTAGCAGGAAACATGATGGGAATTTCAATAACGGGTGTAGTAGTAATGTTAACCCTTTTGGATGTCTCTTCATCTACTTGTTTTGTTTGAAGAAATTGCTCGACCAAAATAGTCAATCGAGTGATTTCTCCATAAAAAACATCAATTTCCTTAGCTTATTCCATCAGTTTCTTTCCTCATTCTTCATCTTCTTTTTGAGTCTAGTGTTGTAGATCTTTGATGGAGGTTGAGCTTTTATAGTGCTACCTATATTTCTATATATGGCAATAAGTTGCTGGAGTGAATATCAAGGTTGTTATCTATTGAGGTTAGATGTGAGATTGTTAACATTGATGCCCTTAATGTTTCATGACAAGTTATTGACATGATGAGGGTTTTAGAAGTTAGGTCATGCATGGTAGGCTTTCTAATAAATTCTAATCAAGGATGCAATACCTATAGGAATTTATAAGAAAAATGTAACAACTATTATTGATCATTGGTAACACACTAGTTGATTCAATGTGAATACGATTAGTTATAAGCTAATAAAAGTTTTTATAAGTGACACTCTTCCGAACATATATATTTTTATATGGATACAATAATCTTTCATCAAACTATGCCATAAAGCATGACGTGTTTGTAAGTCCATTACCGATTCTCCTACTAATACCCTTTATAAAACCATATGGTATTAGTAGAGCCATTATCGATTTTTTTACCAATACCGTATACTTTTATCAACATCCTTTATAAAACTATACGGTGTTAGTAAGGCCATTACTGATTTTCCTATTAATATCTTTTATAAAATTGAATGGTATTAGTAGGGCCATTACCTATTCCCCTACCAATACTATGTACTTTTATCAACATCCTTTATAAAACCTTATGGTATTAGTAATGCCATTATTGATTCTCCTACCAATACACTTTATAAAATCATATAGTTTTAGTAAGGCCATTATCGATTCACTTATAAATGTCTTATACTTTTGTCAATATATTTGGCCTTAAAATAAAAAACCTTTTGTCAAAATATACGCCTTGATGCATACATGACTTTAATGCATTCCATAAACATGTAAATTAAGGCTCATGATGCAAATGCACATAAAAAGATTTCATACTTTCACATAGCATATTCAATCATATATACATTCTATCACATAACACATTAAGTCATATAATCATATTCACACATAATAACACAATCAAACACATGAAGTGATTGTGGTGAGTTGAATCATGCTTACCTTGGTTCCGTTGTCATTTAACAATTATCTTCCTCAAGCGATTTAATTCCTATCATTAAAAAAATCCATTATAAATCTTCTACTTAAATCAATAAACTCATAAATAGCCTCTTTACTTAACAATCAACCAATGAATCCCAAAAATCATATTTCACTATTCATCATCTTTAATCTTTTCATAACCTATTTTATCATCACAAAAACACTTTTATAAAATCCTAAAATAGTTCTTATAACCTTGTATATATACAAAATCCCAATTTAATCCATTAATTCCCAAAATAATTCAAATAATGGAATTTAACTAATTAAACTCTAAATTAACCTCATTAATCATTAACTCAAGATAATTAATCATAATCTAACTAATTAAAATCACTTAAATCATACTTTTCTTAAATTCTTTTTCAACTCAATCCTCACACAACTTACTTCTACAATCTAATATTTCAACCAATTTCATATCACCATTATCTTATTTCAAGTATCAATCAACATAAATAAGTATTTAATAACCAAACCTCTAAATTCAATTTAAATCCTAACCATAACCTATCTGAATTTTCAATCAAACAACAAACTCAATATAATTTAACTCCAAATCACCATTAAAAAGATATAAACATATCAATTTTAAGGTTAATTAACAAAAATTTTACCTTTCTTTATGGCACAAATTTCAAGCTCAAGAACACTAAATCTCTAAGCTCTAATCTTACTTAATGTCAACTTATATCATAAAAAAACTAACATAATCTAATGTCTTTTTGGTGGTCAAATGGGTTTAAATTCGGTGAGAGATGATAGAATTAAAGTGGGAAGGTTAAGGTGAAGGATTATACATCCTATAAAGATTTGACATAAGCA